AGATCACCCATCACTAGCCATGCCTAATATCCCTCTATTTCACTTCCTGTTTCAAAAGTGCTGATTTTGGGATAAAGCTTTAAAAAAAAAAAAAAAATTGATAAAATAATAAAGGAGGGGTCTGAGCTCATGCGGGACCCGGCAGCTACTGTCTAAACTAAATACTGCCGTGATGAAACGCCATATCATGGATTATCAAGGATTATTTCTGAAACAGTATGGAGCTCAAAGGCTTTCTCTCTTGCCGGTTATACCACAAGGTGAGTTCCTTTTTATTTCCTTCTTCACACACATGCTCTCCGGTACGGGTGAGCTCTGAGTGTTAGCGATGCTAATGTAAACACCGACCATATCATGTCCAAATCAGTCGGGCATTGTTTCTGATAGCAACGTTTCTGATAGGGCCGTGGGTCCACATTTTAGATATTACGTCATATTGGACGCAAATCTGAATCAGCACCGTTTTTAGAGTTTTGGGTACGGAGGAAAAGAGAGAGGGTTTTATTTTCTGACGCTGCGTGAGTTCCCCGACACACCGGGGACACATGTTGATGTAGAAAAGACATCAGAAAGTGAATTTTGCATGATAGGTCCCCTTTAATTAATCTGACGGGTAAAGTCATCTTGTCAAACACATGCACATGATAATCAGATTTAACTTTATTTTGAAAGCTTGATAATCATAATGGATGGTCATTTAGTGAATCAGAAATATGGAACCAAAATATGTGTTTCTTACAGAAACGCAAATCCTTATTTTGAACAAATAGACCCGTGGTGACAAAAATACTCAGATTTAAAAACAGACACTTAAAGATCACAGTACATGTATTTGAGATACTTTACATAATATTTACATAGCACTTTGAATTCTTTGTTTATTTTTTTTACACTGATGGAAAAACTCAACCGAAGGATTCAGTTGAAATTAGTTCTAGTGAAACACACATAGCAGACGTCTTTGTTCCTGGTAAAAGCTGTAACAGTTTGACCATCTTTCAAAAGTAAGGAACCTCCTAAATCAGTGTCCGGGTCGGATGTAAAAGTATTTTCTTGTTTAGTTCCTGCAAAGTTTCCCATTACTTACCAAACCTGCCACCAAGTGGAGTGCCTCAGGGTTCTATCCTTGGTCCTCTGACATTTTCCGCAAAACATTACATTTTTCAAATTTATCTCTCCTGTCGTGTTTTATCAAACATAAATATTGTGTTATACATTTGATTGCTTCAAGGCCTTATGATGTCCACCACAGTAGGTACAGTATGTGAACATATAAAACTGCTGATCACCACTTTCATTGAATTTTGAGTTGTTCCCGGCCAAAAATGACCCCAATAGGAAATGAATGGGTAACTCTAGATCTCATGAACACGACAGGAGGGTTAAACCCAGCTCTCTGACCTTCTTCGTGTGTTCATCGCTCGTGTTCATATGTTATATGAAGTTAGCGGCCCTTTCACCAGACCCTGCTCTTTGCGCGACACCGGCGCATGAATGCTGCAGTCCCGCGCCTCGCAAATTCCCGGCACTCCTGCGATCCCGAATATTCCCAACTGACCGACAGCACCAGGGAATCCTCGGGGACCTCGAGGACCCTCCATGCCGTTCTTGGGTTCTGCGGGGTGACCGTGCAAACCTGCGGAGGGGAAATTACAAAATGAAGGCGCCTGTCGAAGCCTGGTATTTATTTATACAAGAGCGTGGAAAAGAGGCACAACATGAGCAGCACATTATTATGTATTTTGTTTAACTAGAAGCAAGTATACAACCCAATTAAAAAGAAAACAGTAGAGTTTTAAAATAAAACAAAAGGGGAAAAAGTTAAAGAGGCCCTATTCTGCTTTCTGGGTTTTCCCTTTCCTATAGTGTGTTACATATATGCTTCAGTGCATGTAAATGGTCTGCAAAGGCTAAAATCCCTTTGTTTCCTCAACAGAGAGTTTCAATTTGAATGAACTGTTTTAATCACGGTAAAGATCCAGCATTTTCTACCACAGAAACTAAACTGGCTGTTTTGCCAGCCTTGCGGTGAGCGAAGAGCCAATCGCTTATCATTTGAATGCATCTCCAAGTTTTGAATTATTGCGTGAAACTAAAGGAGGTCTCACCTCTGATGCCTTGTGGTCCGTCGGGTCCCGGCAGGCCTTTACCTGCATCACCTGCACGGGCTTTACCTCCTTTTTGACCTGTTGACAAATACACCGTTTCAAGAACAAAGCTGAAACACTACAGACCTGTATTGAGAATAAACATTTCCCTTTTGACCTGAAAAACACACAAAACAAAAAGTGTGAAAAGCTGCAAAACTAAAGATGAGTGTGAGTGAGTGAGTGAGTGAGTGAGTGAGTGAGTGACTGTCTGTCTGTCTGTCTGTCTGTCTGTGTGTGTGCGTGTGTGTGTGTGTGTGTTTCAAAAATCGTTCTTTTATACCAACAAGAGTTTTGAATTAAAAAGTTGTTCTGGATGTATGAAAATGTGATTTACCTCTGTCTCCTTGCGCTCCTTTCTGTCCCTCCAGTCCTCGGTCACCTTGAGCTCCTCTCCCTCCTTTAGATCCCACTTTCCCGGCTTTTCCCTGATGGGAAGAGAAGGAAGACATGGTGTCCAATTACACCTTACTTCAGGACGCACTGGAAATCACTTATGGTGCGATTAACAATACGATCAGTATTCTCGTGTCTTCCCTGTGTGTCGCACTCCAAAATGATCCTCTCAAATGTCGGTCACCAAAGAGGAATACAGGAAGTGTTTCAAAGTGTTTTCCAATAAGCAGGAATTCATTTATTCTCTGTATTACAGTATGGTTTTTCATTGGTCCCTCTTCTTTAGAGAAGACCAGGAAATGATGGATACACGGATCGTGTTCAAATCAATAGGCACGCAATGACTCTAAATAATAATGATCACGCCACCAAACACACATTCAGACTAAAGGAACCAGCCTGTTTGGAAAATGAGAGAAGTAGAAAGTACAGGTATTTGAGTTCAACATGTAAGAAGTAGAAAGTACAGGTATTTGTGTTCAACATGTAAGAAGTAGAAAGTACAGGTATTTGTGTTCAACATGT